TCCTCGGGAAGGGGCCTACGTTCATGGACTCTTCATGGAAGGGGCTTGCTGGGATGTGCAGGTAAAGCTCCAATGCCCCAGAAGGCATCCTCTGTGGGCTGATTAAATGCATATAACTTCCCATAAAAATTCTGAAAGGGATATCCCTGAAACTTTTTACCTAGATAACCCTTCCTTGAGAGTGTCAAACCATTATTATGTAACTAGGGATGGTTTGAGAACTCAGGTTTTGCAGAGCAATTAGAAAGGAGTGGTTTTTCTGACCCCCAAATACATAAAAGAAAACATAGGCAAAATGCTCCAAATTCATTGGGTTCAAGTGTTATCTTTGGGAACTTGTTTCCAATGGCAAGGAAAACAAAAGTAAAAATAAAGAAATAGGACTGGAATGAGTTAGATATTTCTGGTACAGTGAAAGAAACTATCATTGAAACAAAAGACACCCCATTGAATTGAGGAAAATTATTTCACATCCTATATCTAACAAGGGGCAGAGATTCAAGATCTGCAAAGGACTGACACTCAACAAAAAGAAAATGAAGAATACAGTCAATAAATGGGCAACAAACACTTTCCCAAAGAGAACATACAGATTGTTAACAGGCACATAAAAAATACTCAGCATTACCATCCAGTAAATGCAAATCAAAACCACAATGCATACCAGGTCACTTCTGTGAGAATAATCCATGTTTTAAATAAAAAGAAGAAAATGTCCTGGTAAGGCTATAGAGAAATAGGAACCTTGGTACACTATTGGAGGGAATGTAGATTGGTACAGCCCATACAGAAAACAGTATGGTTGTTTCTCAAAATACTAAAAATTGATACACTGTTTGATCCAGCAATTACACTTGTAGGTATCTGCACAAATAAATGTCATTTGTGCATATGTGCATTATTCATCACAGTTACTTACAGCCTAAATTCCCACCAGTGGGCCAGTGAATTAAAAACATGTGGTATATATGCAGATGGAATTCTACTCCATTATTAAAAAAGATGAACTGTTGCCATTTGCAGTAAGGTAATAGAACTGGAGGATATTATGCTAAGTGAAATAAGTCAGAAAGAGAAAGACAAATACTGGATTTTACCCATATGTGGGCTATAGAAAGGGGAAAGGAACTGACAAAGCTAACCAAAGCAAACCCTAAATACATGACTGCAGAATGAAGGCTTTTAGAGTTGGGAAGGAGAGATGGGCTAGGGACAAGTTGGGAAGAGGGCCTAGTGGCCTAAGTTAAAAGATTATGGGTGCTGTGATGCTTAAGATGTTGTGGTAACTCGGAGGAGGAGTGAACCTCAGTCTTTAAATAATATACAGTATTGTAAACCAATGGGACCTCACTGAGTGGCTTGAGGGGAAAGCAAGGAGTCTAGGAGTAGAGCACCTGGGTCTGAATCCCAGCAACACCTTTTATTAACTCTGTGATCTTGTGATACATTTCTATCTTGCCAAGCCTTAGTTTGCTCAACAAAATGGGAAAATAGAATTCCAATGAAAACTAAATGAACAAAAGATGTAAAACCTTTAGAACAGTGCTTGGCAAAAAGGGAGGTGTGCTCAAAAGGTGCTATGTAACAAGGAGTTATCATTTCATTTCCCAAGTTTACCTTCCTCATTCATGAGCTCTAGGAAAGTAGGAAGCCCATTCCCCTTTTACATTATTACCTGTCAGTAAAGGGGAACCAGTAGATGTCATTTAAAGTGGCAGTTTGAAAGGATTGCTCACTGAAGGGTAGTAAATATTGGAGTCATTGTAAGATCAGAGAAGATGTTTGTTGTAGATAAGCAAAGCTAACAAACATAACTGGGTTAAATGACATGAACAAGGATGGATTACTCCAGAACAAGTTTCCAATTGTTATATACATGACCTGCTTAGTCAAACATTCTGTTTGCCAAGTGACAGTAACCTATTCAGAGCTGTCAGTACAAAGCTAATGGAGAAAAACTATTAAATGCTCTAGAAGATACCAGGACATATAAATAAGCATCTCAAACTGGAAAGCATTGAATCATGGTGCCCCAAAAATCCATGTCTGCCCAGAGCCTCAGAATATGACATTATTTGGAAATAAAGTCTTTCAAGGTAAAATGAATTAAAATGAGGTGATACTAGAGTAGAATGGGCCCTAAATCCAATCAATGGTACTGTTGCTGAGCACATGGGCCCACCACCCAATGGCACAAAAGCCAAAAATCATATCACCACGTTTTGAGAAAAGAATCCGTTAAATGCAAGATCACCTGGCAAGAAACTGGGGACAAGCCAGCTAAGTAAACCAAAGAGAAGGCCCAGTTTGGAAAGTTAGAGTGGTCCTATCACTATTCCATGAGTAAAGACAGAATATGTTTCCTCCTGCTCAAAAATTCAAATGCTCTAGAGGGTGGATGACATCACGCGAAATGAACAGGACATAACTGAAGCCTTAAAGTCTAAAGCATTTTGCTGACAGGAACCATGTCTTACTCATCTCTAAGTCCTGTAGCACCTAGCATGGCATCTAGCAAATCATTGCATTCAATACATATAAGAAATGAATGAATCAAACATTAAAACTGAGAGGTGATTCAAACTTTAAAGGGATTCATTTATATGTGGTAAGTATCTCTACTTCAAAGAGATTTAACCTGAGAAATAGAACTACATCTTCCATCTATCAAATGCATTCCATCCTGGGTTGTTGAGAGCCTGGGACCTCTCATCTTTGGGATCTCCTGACAGACCTGATCTAAGATGTTTTATCTTCTTGTCCTCAGGCTGGGATCATCACAGAGGCAAAGCTGAAGGATCTGACACCCCCCATGCCTGTAATGTTCATCAAGGCCATTCCTGCAGAGAAGCAGGATTCCCGTAGTGTCTATCTCTGTCCCGTATACAAGACTTGTCAGCGGGGCCCCACCTACGTATGGACTTTCAACCTGAAGACTAAGGAGAACCCATCTAAGTGGGTTCTAGCTGGAGTGGCCTTGCTTCTCCAAATTTAGCTTCCTGCAGTCACTAAGAAAAAAAAAGGCTAGTCTGGAGATGCCCAGAGGGACAGATGGGTGACACATAGAAAGGTAAGAAATCTTAAACACTTACAATTCTCTAGAATTCCTTTAAGAAACTTGGAGAGAAATGTCTAAAGTGAGACTGAGCTGTAAGAGTGTGAACCCAAGAAGTAGGGTAGAATTTGCTAACACCAAATCCTTCTAATAAAGTAGTTTCTTCTTCAACTGTGTCTGATCCAGGCTTTGAAATTTCAGTCATACAGGATCATGAAGAGAGTGAGAGGAAAGAGCCTTGAACACGTAACCCCTGAATAGTGTGACTTGGCACTGTGCTCAGTACCGGAGTACCCACTATTCCATGGATGAAGGCCACTGGCATCAGCAGGACAGTCTGCATTTAACAAGCTCCCTAAATATCACATATACATGTGATATTTTGAGAAACATTATTCTAGATCATGGTCACACTTTTCCTCTAAAGAAAGATAGTAAATATGTTAGGCTCTGCAGTCATACCGTTTCTGTTAAACTACTCAACTCTGCCAACATCACTCAAAGCAGCCATAGAGAATATAAAAATAGGTCTAGAGAATATAAAAATAGGTGTAACTGCATTCCAACAAAACATTATTTATAAAAACATACCATGGGCCATATTGTGTCGATTATTGCTCTAGAAGTAAGGGAAGCATGTGTGTGAGAGTTGGCCTTCATTAATTCATACATCTACTCAGTGAACGAGCTAAAATCATTACTGAGGTTGCAAATGTGAATGAGGCAGATTGTTTCTTGTGTATCTACTATGCTTCAGACCATTTAAGAGGAACCCAAGGAGAAATCCTTCACTTAAAATTTTTTAAGCTAAAAATTTTCTAAATTATCTTCTGTGGAACACATTTTTGCTGGAAACCTAGAGTTTTCGAGTTTTTAAGAACTCTGTGGGGAAGACTGATGGGTAATGTCTGAGAGGACCCACTATCATCATTTCCTCATATTCTTGGAGAAACTTATTTTTAGATTAAACACTATTTCAAACAGTGGTCCTTAAATTTGAGCTTGTTAAACCAAGATTGCTGTCCCTCCACCCTTCCCAGTTTATGATTCAATGAGTCTCCCAAATTTTCCATGCTGCCAGATAAGGGGGCCACACAAATCCTAAGGTCAAACGTACAAATCTGTTATGCAGAATACAAAATATAGTGGCAATTCCTTCATGATTCTCCCACTTTCTGCATCCCCCAAAGAGGGGACTTATTCTTCATCTTTATGTTCTAAGGGACTTGACAAATTCCTCCTGGAGTTCAAAAACTCCAACTTGAGTTTTGTCTCTTTTCTTTTATCAACCAGTAATGTACTTTCCATTTTCTTGCCTACAGCTTAATCTGTTTTCGAGAAGATAGCTTTCACCTTCTTCATTAGCATTATCACTCCAACCCTCACTTAGAACAATACAATGAAATAGGCAAGAGAAGGACCAAGGTGGAAATCTGTCACTAAATGAGAGCTGGGCAGTTTGTGGCCTGCCACTTCTAATGACAAGGATAAGTGGGCAGCTTATCCATACTTGTTAATCACCCTCTAGACAGTACCATAAATTAGATAAATGCTACTGATTATTTTTTCTAACATCTCAGACAAGACAGGAGAATAAAGGTCACTTTAAAACATAGAACATGTTGGCAAAAATGCTAGCCTACACATGATGCCAGGAGAAAGAATGGCAGATTGAGGGAGGAGAGCCACTGGGGGTGGGCTTAAGAGGAGGACACCATGGACAAACTGCCCAACACTGACACAAACTGCCCAGCACAGGGTTAAGCCCTCACATTTAGATGCCAGTTAGTATTTTCCTGTTGCTGTTCAGATGATGGGGATATTTGGTAAGCCTGCATGGGCTGACCTAGTAGCCCAATGACCAGTTAGGGTCTCCTATGTGAAAATGCACTTTGAGTTACAATCAATACTGGACATTTCAAACACAAGACAGGGAGTGAATCAACTAGGTTTATTCAAACAAGGAACTCCTGAAGCTAATTGTTCAACCATGACAAAGCACACTTGAGAGCTCATTTGAACTTTATGCCCTCCCTTCAGTAACAAGAGACCTGTTCTAGAACCCCAGTTCTAAAGGGCTGAATTCTTCCCATGAGCAGCAGTGGGGCAAATCTAGTTAAACTCTTCCCAAACAGAAGACCTCTAAAGTGGGTCTTGAAATACTTTTCCACAAGGGATCCAAAAAAAGAGATGAACTAACAGATGAAGACTATTCTTTGTGCTGACAGAGACAAAATCAACCCAGTGTGAAATCCAAGTCCAAACCTACGTTCAGGTTCTCCTCTTCAACTCATGAAAAAGAGAACAGCAAATCCTCTTCAGAGATGCAATTTCTCCAGATGGAGCTAAATTTTTTTAAAAGGAAAGGCAGCTAGAGAACCTGGCTACTGAAATGGCTTCTTTCCTAAATGGGATCTTTGATGTTTATCGAGGCTTGAGCTCCAGCTGAAACTTTTCCCACAGCGGGAACATTTATAAGGTTTCTCTCCTGTATGAACTCTCTGATGTCTATTGAAGTTTGATCTTTGAATGAAACTTTTCTCACAGATGGGACATTTATAGGGTTTTTCTCCTGTGTGGATTTTCTCATGGTGGCGCAGTCCTGAGAAGTCACTAAAGCCTTTCCCACAATAATCGCATTTACAGGGTTTCTCTCCTGTGTGAATTCTCTGATGCTTCACAAAGTCGGAACTCCGCAGAAAGGCTTTTTTGCAGGTCGGGCACTGGAAGTATGTCTCTCCAGTGTGAGTTCTTTGGTGAAAAACCAGCTGAGAATTCCTATAAAAGGTTTTCCCACATTCTCTGCAGGTGGGCAGTTTCTGGGCCATGGGGGCTCTCAGCTGTCCTTTTGGGGAGGTCTCTCTCTTTTCCTCCAGCCACAGCATAGACAGTTCTCCTGGATGAGAATTAGCCAAGTGCTGGCCTAGCTGTCTCCCAGAATGCCTTTCTTGAGGAGAGAGCTGCCCCCCTGAGCCCTCACCCTGAAGAGTTTCCTGAGCCTCAGAGAGATGTTCTCCTTCTCCCAAGTGTCTCTGCTCATCCTCCTTGAAGATGTCACTCAAGGAAGCCTGAGAAGGTGCTGCTCCTGAGACTTGGAAGGAAGCACCAGGAGGTTCCTGGTCCCTGTAGTTTTCCAAATTCAGGTTTTCTTTGTCATTCTCCTGTTTATCTCCTGAAAGAAGAAAGAACATTTGAAATAGTTCAATGAATGATAGGTTGTTTGCTACCTTCTATGTTAAAAAAGGGATCATCATAAAACATTAAATCTTAACCAAGAGGGCATCAGTGAGTGAGGAAGGCATGTATGTATGGTCCAGCCTGTGCCCCTGGCACTCATTCCACTGTATGGGGTCCAGCTATTCGAGTTGGCACTGAAGAAGGGCTGGCAGCAGAGGGGGGTCCCAGAGGAGGGTTCAAAGAGGGCTGGAGGTCCCAGCCCTACAAAGATGCAGCACGCATTTCTCAAATCCCAGGAAAAACACGTGTATTATAAAAGATTACTACTTTAATAAATGGTTGGTTTTTATCTTGTTATATAAATATGATCACTATAGACAATTTGAAAATATTAGGAAAATATAAAGAAAAGCAAGTCGATCTCAATTGTACTACCTAGAGAGAACCAACAGGAGTCTATGTTTTCTTCTGGTCTTTCCCACTTAATCTTTATGGTGTTGTATTTATGTAGGAGGTATATATTAGATATGGGCTTTTTTTTCCCCAGACGAAAGTGATATCATATTATAAATACAATTCTATATATACCTGGCTTTGTAGCACTTAAATTGTAAGTGCTGGTATTTATCAATTTAACATGGCTTCTCCCATCTACAAGTAACGAAAAAAGTCATGAAATTGGTAAATGTCACTTTACTGGGATTTCAATGCGCAGTGAAGCTGTAGTGTGAAGGTGGGTCCCTCAGTCTAATGCTGCATCCAGCATTTACTTGTGTTTCATTAAATCATACAGCAGTTAAAATTTCATTTTTCTCATCATAACTGAGGTTTCTGGTTATTACTATTTAATGATGCATACAGAGTTTTATTTTAGTAGGACATATTTTTCAACTTTTATAAATCACTTTATTCCTGTTGATCTCAAGAAGTTATTTCCTTCCTCTTTCCTTTCTTCATTAATGTCTTTCAAGTTGTCTGCTAGCTACTTGGGAATCTGCTAGAGAACTATTAAGTTGAACTTTTGAAATCACATAATCTTGGCATATATTCCTTTGCAAAGGATTAAAGAAGCCCTCATAAATAAAATTTTAAAGAACTAAATAAAGATCAAACATAGAGATGCCATAATAGACACATAAAGGGGCCCTCTCTGGTGGCACAAGGGGCTGAGGTGTAGCACTATGAAGCTCTCCATAGCCACTGCAGCACAAGTTGGATCGCTGGCCAGGGAGGTGACCCACATGGCACCGCAGACCTCTCCTGTCCCGCCCACTGCTCCCCTCAGCAGTGTATTTTAATCAATGCACCTGTTCTCTTTCCCACTATTTCTGGTGAATCCTCTCACACCACACCACCCCCGCACCTCTAGTCTGGACCCCAGTTCTTGTATGCATAAATAAATAATTAAAGAAAATATAGACACATGAAGTAATACAAAATGTACTTAAGGATTTTCCTACTGTGTAAATCTAAATTTTTTGTTGTGTTTTGCTGCTATAAATAACAATGTGGGTGATGAGTTGTTTTTCTTCATAAATTTTTGCCCACTTTTCTGATCAATATCTTATTGATTTTCAAAGTGTGAATAACTGTGTCAAAAGGTATGAATGGTGTTATTAGGGTGCCTGACACTTATACTGCCAAAATCAATTTCTAGAATGATTGTGTCATCCTCTGGAATGAGAAGCTAGGCAGAGGGTGGATGAGTATTCAATACTCAAGTATGAATGTCGTAATATTTGCATTTTAGACCAGTGAAAAATGTTTTTTTCACTGTTACAAATTTTAATTCCTTAGTTATAAGTGAGAAATTTTTCACATTTTTGAGATATTTTCATACCCAAGACCGCCATCCATTTTTACTGGGAAAGTCATATTTTCTTATCAGCATGTATTAATTCTTTCTGTTTTTAAAAATAATTTATCTGTCAGGTTCACTAAAACAGGTTTTCCCCAATTTACTTTCATTTTGTTCAGGTTATTTTTACATCAAAAAGTGGATTTTTTTTTTTAAAAAACAACTAGGCCAGAACTCAAGTCTATTCATCTTTTCCTTAATAATTTTTCCATTGCTTTTTACACATAAAAATCTTGCCCATCCAGACATGAGTCAAATACTCACCTATTTAGTTTATTATTTTCATATCTTGTCTTTTTCATCTATTTCAAACTATGACATACATACAATTTAAAGAAATTCCTTTTCCCAGTCCTCCTGTTACTGCCCATACCCCACAGGTCTGTGCTGCTTCTTCCTTTATCTTATATTAAATTCTTATACAGACCAGTTTCTTTTCCAAGGCTCCCTTTTCTGTTTCATTCATCTATCTTTACATTAGGACATCACCATTTTAATGATTTTAGTTCTTAAAGAAACAGACTTCTTATTTATACATCTAGTATTGATTAATATGCTTCTTTCAAAACTTCTTTAGTCATTCATTATTCTTCCAAATAACTACTTTAAAATAATTTTTCCAAATAATTTTTTAATCCCTGGGAATTTGGAGTAGAAGTATGAGTATCTGGCTTTTGGGGGCTTATTCCCTTGCTGTTTTAACTATACGCTGGTTTTCCACACTATCCTGTAACTTGTCCCCTGGTCTAAGAGCAGATGTGGCAGGCAGCCTCACTGGAATCTTTTAGACCAAACTGATCATTAGAGCAGCTTCCACCCTAGCCCAGGGCCCCATCCCTGCACAGCAAGACTGCTGCATCAATTTCCCAGAATTTGTATTAAATCCTACTTCAACAACCACTAAAACAGTATCTTCAAACTTTTTTAGACTCCTATTCACAGTATGAAATATACTTACATTGAAATACAGTATACACACACAGATTTAGAGAAAATTTTTCTGAAATGCTAACTACCCTAAGATCTGATATTTTCTTTGTGTATTGTGATCATTTCCATTTATCACTTCATTTTTCTCAATGTTGGTTGCAACCCTACAGAATGATTTCACAATCCACAAACTGGCCATGACATGCATTTTTAAAAATACTACTGCTCCAAAGGAATCATTATGAAATAGTATTACGATAAATATATTGCTTAAAATTAAAATCATGTGTCTCACTTGATACTTGTTCTCTCACCACCATGTGAGCAAAGGAAAATAATTAGAGCCTATTGGGAAAAAAATGCCTTGTATACAGCTCCCATTCCTCCTCCTTTTCTCCATCTTTTTCATCTTTGTGTGTGTGACTAGGTAGCTTAGACAGATCTTACATAACCACAATTTTTTAGAGTGTCAAAGGCAAACAGCAGTTGCTATTTTACACAGAACAAGTTCATATTTCTTCTTCCTCAGTCTTCCAAAAACACATGACTTAGATGATATATTTGTTGTTACTGTTGTTTAATGAAAGTTAGGTGCAAAGATATTAGCTAAAACATCTTTTTCTTTTATTTTGTCTTGTTTTATCGAGCATGAGTTGGTTATTATTCTCTATAACCAGTGTAGTAAAAGAAAAAATGAGTTAAGATGTCACATCATCTTTTTCTTTTAATAAAAGAATTCCATCCATATCTACATTATTCACAATTTATACTATCTTAATTTTCACAGAGAAAGTGGCCACAACAGACAAGGCTGGAGGCAGCAGATCCAATTTATAGTCTTTCTTGCATGATTTAATGTACATGTCAACAGTTCTGTAGCCAGAAACTAGGAGATACAACCTAAGTGCTAAACTGGACTAACCAGATTGTGGTTAGTGATAACTGTTAGAAACCAAGGGTTAAAAACCAAGTTGTAATACTCCCCCACCACCTTGTTTCATGAAAGGAGGTTCGAAATGGCTGTAGACCAAAGGAAATGCACTCACCTATGCACATGGGTCTTGGAATCTTCTCACTGACATGAAGGTGCAATCCTGCCAGCTCTTCCCCATACTCTGTAGAATTAGTCTGGTCAGGCTTAGAGTTGGAAATGCCTGGTACCAAGAGAAAGAAGATGTGGGCTAAGAGGAACGGGGAGCCCTGAGACCTAAGCTGTACCTTTCCAAGGAGCGCCCTGAGCATGAGGGGTAATAGCTCCAGAGGCCACTTAGGGAACCTCATCTTAGAAGCATGTGAGACACTTGTAAGGCCCACAAGATTATAAGGATCTATGGTGAAGGCTACAAAAGGAAAAGTATGGTTGGCTGGATCAGCTGACCTGGCAGATCACTGAAGGGTCAAGACTGAGCCCACCCAGTGGTTGGTTCCAACAAGTAGTTTAGTAGAAAGAGCATCAACTCAGAGTAATTTCAATACAAGGAAGTTCTTACTGTAACTCTGCCATCCCCAACTCAACCAAGTTCTAGATTGTGTCTCTGGTGCCTTCCCTTTACCCAGAGAACTTCAGGTGGAGCAGTTATGTCTAAAAGGACATAGAAAATGCTAAACCATTTTTCCTTCCAAGGCCAGTCCACAGCCTCACCTCCTGAGATCATTTTCCCGTAAGTCTCCAGCATGAGATCCCAGTATTGTTCCTTTTGAGTGGAATCCAGGTGCTTCCACTGCTCCTAGAAAAATGCAAGGCCATGACTCTAATGAAAGTTTCTGCTCTGCCTTCCCTGCCTATAGGAAAGCTGGGGTGGGGGGTGGGATGTGCCCAAGTTTCACGGCCATCATGAGAGCTAAGCAATCATGGGAGGAGGCCAAGGGGGGATTTACAGTGTCTAAATCAGTATCTCTTGGCCTGATTAGAAAACAGTTCGATTTCAAGTTCTAAATTTCCAGTTTACATGTATCTGAGAGCAGAGGACACAGAGAAGACAGAAGCCTTTTCTACACTGTTGTCCTTAACTCTTCCAGTGCTACAGTAAGAGACTTTGAGTGTCTGGAACTTATTATTCCTTGTATTGAACTAAAATCTGGAGCATCAAGAGAGGGAAAAAGTTAAAAATTAATTTATTGGAAAACCAAGCGCAACTCACCAAAGAGTGGAAAAAATCTGTAAAAAAGTAACTGAGTCCTAAGTCTTTCTGTGAAATACAAATGGATGGATTCAAAACAAAGAGAGATGATGCTGTCAAACACACTTGGGATCTCCCAATAGAGTCTAACATTATATCATCTTTCCTCTTACTTACTGGGGAAACGAGGGTTTCTAGGGCGAGGTATCCAGTCTCATCCCACAGAGCTAGAGACTGGACACTCAAACTGGGAATATTCTCTAACTCGGATCTACTTTCATGAATTCAAATTTCAGTCTCCTCGTAGCAAACTGTACTTCTCATTCACAGCATTCACCGTGGCTTATTAAAAGTTTATGTATATGCATGTGTATATACATGTACACACATACCTCTCTGACTAATAGTTGCTTCTACTAGCATGCAAGTGCCAGGAATCAAGGACTCTGCTGTACCTTCCCGGTCTCCAAGACAGGGCACAGGGCAACTGGGGCAGGGCAGGCACTCAGTCATGTTGTATGGTAAATGAAGTCTTCAGCAAGTAAGCCCCCAGTAGGTGACATATATTAATTTCACTCTCATATGCAGTCCATATAGGCAGCCTCCTGGGCTCACCCAAGGGTTTGCAGAGAGAAGAAGGGACTCTGTAAGACTTTCAGGAACCCCAAAGCTGACACGCAATACTATCATGAATGATCAGATCATAGGGAACAGAGATGAGAAATGATGAAATCATCTTCCTAATATGCCCCATAACTTAAAAAAAGAAGTGGAAATATGAAAGAGAATGAAAATAGCAAACTTTTTAATAGTTTGTTGTTGTTAATCTTGCGTGAAAGAAGCTATGCTAACAACCTCCTGGAAAAAAAAAACATGCCAGGCAAACTGCAGGATACAGGAGTGCTCAGTCTTCTGGTCAGAACTCACTCCTTGCTTCAGCAGTGACAGAGACAAGGATGGGAACATCAGGTATGGCGCCCTCTGATGGGCTGCTTGGCTTGCTAACTCCCAGGTCTACAGTCCTGGGTTATAGCATCCACCAAGTACAGGACAAGGCAAAAAGGAACACAGTCACCTAAATCCCCAAGGGGCATAGCCAGCTGTTCAAAACTCAGAAAAACTGCTCCAGGAGTCTTTAAACAGTGAACTTCCAGTGGAAAACCATAAACTTCCTCAGGGAACTGCCAAAAAGCTGGCATGGCTGGAATGAGACCTCTTACTGTAAGAGGCAAAACACTAACTGCTGCCATTTTGCATTTTTATAAGAAGGGGAAAAAATCTAAATTCCTACTTTCAGAGGGAAGAAATAAGGGTTTGATGGGGAAATAATTTCAAATTGTGAGGAAAGAGCACCACCTAGTGACATTATGAGACACCGCCACAACTGACTGAAAGTTTGGGGACTGTGTGCCTTTTCCTGTTGGAAAACACAGTAAATACAACCAGCCTCTTTGTGAGATTCCAACACAGCCATGGATTCTGATAGTGAAGCGCCGCTGTGTAGGGCTGTTACTTCCTGCTGTCACTATTCACGAAGTTCTTAATTTATAGAAGAGATGAAAAGGAGCGACTGTAAAAAGGATTCCATCCACTATCAACATGCTTCCAAGGCAAAGAGTGCTGTCAGTTTTGAGGGGAGACACATTGGGGTTGTGTAAGAATGATTTTTGTTGTTTGGATTAAGTAAATGTCAGTTAGTTATCAGCTAATAGTAGGAAATTTTATATATGTATGTATACTACTAGTAGTAGTTAAAATGTTAATGAACTGTTTAGACCTTTCATAGGGATATTCTCCTCAGTAGAGCAGCGACAATAATCCTCCAAACTGCTTGAAATACTTGAAATAATACCCAGATCTTTTATTCCCAGGCAAGCTTCTGCCTAGCAATTTGGTGTTTGAAAGCACAAGCACAACTGACAAGGCATATATCCTTCTGTGCCCTCTCTGGCACTGTTCCCCTACACACACACCCAGGGCAAACTGCAAAGTTGCTATTCCCATTTTCAATCACAGCCTGGTTAAAAGGTAAGAAGAGAAGGGTGACTGACTCACCTGAGGCGCTGTTTGGAGAAGTGAGGCTCCAAAGTCCTGGTCTCTGATGAGCCTCTCCTCAGGTTGAGCAGGAAACTGAGAAGTAGCCATCACTGGAGTGAGAAACAGAAGTGTGAAGAATCTACTCACCCACTCTCCACAGAGAAAACTCACCTCGGATTATAACTGTTATTTGTGAGGCCATCTAAGATTTTCCTAACTCCCTCCAACCTTCCCAAAGTTTCACCTGTATTCTCTTCTAAACCAAAATCTAAATGGTTTGACTAAATCCAAAAAAATGATTTAATTATAGACCTTGAATCTCAAAAGCAGAGCAATTCATGCAAATATATCCTGCTTCCAAACATTCCAGAAATATCCCAATCTGGGCAGCATTATCATTTTCAACTCACTCTTAGGTCTACCAACCCTGATGCCCAAATTCCTCTGAGAGAGCACCCCACACCGCTATGAATAACTGCCCCTCACCTAATTCTTGTTCAGGGTCAGACTCCTCTTTCACGATGTGGCTCAGTGCCTCCCCAGGCCCGGAGGGTGAATTCTGAAGTCCCAGCTCCTGAGGCACCACTTCAAGATGAGGTTCCACTGCCCGCACTTGACAACTTGCTGATTCCACCTTCTCTGATAATATTTCCTGTCCTAGAACTTGGATGCTGATCTAAAGACCAGATAGCACTAATTACTGAAGGATCCAGAGTGAGGATTTCTGAGAAACAAAGCTAATCTTCTATGGAGATCATAAGATCCTTAGCAGTATGCAACAGGGAAAGAGAAAGCCAGCTTTATTTCCAGTTCAGCAGGAACCCACAAGGGAACCATCTTGAAAGAGGGCAAAAGTTGAGACTGAGCCAGGCCTGGGAGACCTTCAAGATAAGCCCCTAATGATGTTCCTACTGGATAGTCTCATCAATTAAAACCCAGGCATCTGTTGGAACTCCTCAAACCTTTTAGTCTAAAGGTGGAATGGAATGAGACATTTTATCTTCAATTTCTAATGGCTGAAAAATATTTAAAGTCACAGAGTCTTTTGGGGATAGACTAATGTGTTACAGTAAGTAAATATTTGGTCTTGGTCCATGCTTCCTGGCAGAGCTTCTAACACCCTTAGTATTTCCTCAAGGATCTGAGTGACAGGAATGTCTTTTGTTATTTATATTGAGGCCCATTCAACCAAACCTGAGTGTACGCTAATGAAGTGACTCTTCCTGAACCAGGTAACTTCAGGTGAGGGCTGGTCACTAGAGGAGCCAACCAAGTAAACAGAGGTTCAGATCTCCGAAGAAAGAAGGGCTGGAGATTTTCAGTCACTAATGCCCAATAATGAATCATGCTTAAGTAATGAAACATCCATAAAACCCACACAACTGTAAGTTGAGGGAGCTTCTGAGGTAGTGAACACTTCAAAATATTGGCAGGGCAGAATAACCAGAAAGGAAGGGCATGAAAGTGCTATGCTGCCACCACCTCCTCCAGTTGGAAGCTTCTGAGTCATTTCCTTTATAATAAATAGGTAAAGGTAAGTAAAGTGTTTTCCTGAGTTCTGTGAGTCACTCTGGCAAATTATCAAACCCAGGGCAGGAGTTGTGGGAACCTCCAAATTCAGTAGATCAGTGATATGTATAGAAGAGGCCTCTGCGACTTGCTTCTGGTATCTGAAATGGGGGAAGTTTTATGAAACTGACCTTACCCTGGGGTCTGAGCCAACCCCAGATAATGTCAGAACTGAACTGATCAGAACTGAACTGAATTCAAAACAACCAGCTGGTATCAGAGAACTAGAAACCTAGTTGCTGGCATAGAAAAGTCTGCATAACTGGTTTCAGGAACATTCTAGCAATACTAAGCCCCCAACTAGCTCACAGATTGTAATGCCCTCTGCTTACCCACTGCCAGAGTCTCTGGGGGTCTCCCTTCAGGCTCTCCACAAGGGTCACTGCCTCCTCTCCGCTGCCTGGACACTGCTTCCGCACCCACATCTGGATCTCCCCAGGGAGGATAGTGAGGAACTGCTCCAACATGAGGATCTCTAGGATCTGTTCTTTGGTGTGCACTTCTGGCTGTAGCCACTGAAAGCAGAGCTTTCGAAGTTGTCTCAGGGTCTCGTGGGGCCCAGACATCACCTGGTAGCGAAACTGCCTGAAAAGCTGGCGCGCGGTCTCTGGACTTGCGAGCTCCTCTCGAGGGGCAGCATCTGCTCCAGAGAACAGAGAGCTCTCAGCCTTCGCCAGTGGCGGCAGCAGGACAAGGGCCTGCCCCAACTCAACGGGCATTGTCTGGCGTGACAAGTCCTTCCAGGAGAAGTGCTTCTGGGATGCAGTTGTCTCTGGGGAGAACCAGGTCTTCACACAGCCTCTCAAAGGAACACTGGCAAGGGGGAGAGGGTGAGTGCTAAACAAAGAAGAGGGACACATTTCAAAAAGAAGAAATTTGCATGCCCTGAGAAGCCTCAGTTGCAGCTTTGAAAACCACTAATTATATTGCTTCACTTTGAAAGACTGTAAATTTGAAGTCACAAAAGAAACCACTAGTACTATATCTACATGTGACCAGTACCCTGTCATTTTATAACACTGTTTCTTGGTCCTCAAACAGCTTCACAGGGTACCTCTCATTGTTCTACTTTGGGTGTTTGAGGACCAAGAAAAAGGGCACCATATGAAGCAGTTGTACTGTGGTTTACAGGTGAGCAGCGTTTCTTCAAAACACTTCATAGCTACAGCCATCCATCTGAAGGCTGAAAAAATAAAGCTTAACAAAGACATCAATGCCCTTGAAATAAAGGCTGAAGTTGACATGATCCGATACTTCTATACTAAATGAGATTGAAAAGAAAATATTAACTCTTGCCCCACAAGGTGGAAATTCTAAGTGACTTCTTCAGTGCCATGTTGAAAACTGGTATATTTGGAAATCTATGAAAAATGTGTCACACCAGAAATTTTCAATCCTGGGCTAAAGAGGCCTACAAATTATACTAACTACTTTGAAAATATTCCTCTAGTCTTGGACTAAGTGATCACTATTTAATGGTAAATGCTATCAAAGTTGAGAAGACAGCAATTACACAGTGAGAAGAAAAATATTAAATGCAAAGTTAATATTATATTTTCAAAGGATCATGCACTATTTTCAATTATTTTTCTAGCATGTAATCCTAAGGAATATAATACTAAAGGCAAAAGAAAATGTGATTTTAGGAAAATCATAAAGAACAGAAAATACATTTATAGTACTCTACTGTATTTATCAAGAACCAAAAATTATGCGATGCACCATGTGTTTACCAGAAAGTCTGTGCATAACTGAACTACTCAGTTTAAACCCATGATGTTCAACATACATGTTTCTCACATACACCTCATCAAATTTATTTGTTTAAAGTCCACATATTCAATATATAGTCAGACAGAAATCAGTGTGCTACAGTGACATAGATTATGTGCTCACTAAATAATGTATTTTGGTCTTTGTTTCTGGCCACAGCAGAGTAATGGGAAGTATAAACTTGTCCTGTAAACTTGTCAATTACAAAACTTGAAAAAAGTTACAGGGTAACAATAAGCAAGAGTGAAATCCCTGAATGGGGAAAAACTCAGGGGGTAAGCTTCATTCCCTTCTGTCTGCCTGCATAGGGACAATTTCCCAACTTACTGCAGAAAGCTAGAGCTCAAGAAGAGTTCATAGGTCTTGCTATAAGGAGGAAGTAGATGTCAGAATTTGCAACTTCTGAAGAGGCTGGAGTCTGAAGAACAGGACAGCGGAGAGGAGGGAGATGTGGAGGAGGGGACAGAAGTCTATGTGGGATTTCCCTATGCTCTCTTGGCGAAAAGTTGGACTGCATATGAGTAAGATGAAGCTATGTAAGGTCTAACAGCAAGTAGCTACGATAGGATTAAATGGCAAGAAAAGACAGAAGGCTAATTAGTGATGAAGGGCATTGGTATTTTGACCATTAAGAATAGAGAGACTCTGTTAATATGCAAGGCATCCTGAGATACCAGAAAGGTTACATATTAGAGAAGTCAACACCATACCCTAGAGTAAGACATACTCTAAACCTGCCCTTAAAAACCTACAAGCAAGCCTCAACATGACCCATAGACAGCACTCTACTGGTCTAATGTGATCAAATTAGAAGGACTTGGGAAACACTCTGGACTTTCCAAAGATCTGCCCCAACAAGGCATAAAACCACCACACCAACACAAGTCAGAGGTGATCAGTCAGTAATTAAAATCAACACTTCACAGAATGGTAACAGATTCTTAAAATCTATGATGTGTCATCCACAACACCCAAGGTGAAATTCAAAATTACTAGACATACTTAGACTTTTTTTAAAGAAAATGTGACTCAACATTAAGTGAAAAAAAAACAATTAAGAAAACCAACCCCAAAATGGCCCAAGGACTGAAAGAAAAATGTTGTCTTAAGAGATAGACTTTATACCAATAAATAGAAATTATAAAAAGAATCAAATGCACATTCCAGAAAAACAACTATCAGCTTAGAATTTGCCATCCAGCCAAAATATGTCAGAAACAAGACTCAAAATAAAGGCATTTTTTCAGATAAATAAGCTAGAATGTCATCAGTTATGTTCACTATAAGAAATGACAAAGGACATTCTTCCCTTTGAAATCCCAATCTACAGAAAGGCATAAAGATCTCCAAAAAATGGTAAGTATATGTTGAATAAATATAAAGCACTATGCTTTTATTTCTTATAATTTCTTTAAAAGTCAGCTGATTCTTAAAAGCAAAAATAATGAAGTAGAACATAAGTGGAAGCAAAAGATTTTTAAACAGTACAAAAGAGGTAAATGCAATTAATCTTGCTAGATTATGATTATATATTTATGCAGAGCTGAGTAGAAAGAGTAGTGTTAAGTGACAAATAGAGTATGTTGTTAAGTGAGAAGCAAGAAATGTGTATCGTGAAATATAAAGTGAAATTTTCAAAATATTAAAGTAGACCTTAAGTTAAACTTTGATTATTTAAGGAGGCATACTTCTGGCTGTAAAAATCTTATACAAAGAAATAAAAAAAACTTTAAAAACCAATATGGAATCTTAGAAACACTCAATAACCCAAAATGTGATAGGGAAAAAGCAAGAGAATAAAAACAGAAAGCTCAAACATGAAAATAAAAAAGACCAATACCTAATCATCTTAATAATTACATTAAGTATAAACGGACTATACGCAGAGATAGTTAATTTTTAAAAGCAAGGCCCAACTATATCCTGTCTATAAGAAATATTTTATATATAAGGACAAGATAGTTTGGAATTAAATGATAGGGAATGATATTCTATTCAAATAGTGAACACATGAAAGCTGATATGGCTAGATAAGTATATGACTAAGAAACTTCAAATACAGGGGGAAAAAGTGGCTTAAGTCATCATGAATATATAGTGTGGTCATACTAGTATCTGACAAAGTGGCCTTCAAGATAAAAGGAAATAAAGGACATTTTAGTATGATAATAGGTCAATTCATCTAAGACATAAAACAATCAAAGTGCATATCTAATATCAAATCTTCAATAATACCTGGAGATTTTTGCAGTAATTGGTAGAATAAGTAGACTCCCTCCAAAAAAAAAATCAGCAAGGATAAAGAAAATATGAGAACAGCATCAACTAACTTAATCCAATTGACATTTAGACTCTACAACAGCATAAATTTCAAGACTGGAATCTTAAAGTATATATTCTTTGATGATGGTGCAACTAAATTAGAAATCAATAAGATATCTAGAAAGTCACAGTAAATGGAAATTACTAAAAACACTCACGCAATCTGTGTGTTAAAAGAAAAAATATCACAAGGGAAATTAACATTTATATTTCATATTGAATGACAATTAAAACACAGCACAATGTGTAGGAAATAGAAAAAAACACTGCTTAGAGGCAATAAAAGTCAAATATACATGTAGCCTTCACTATCTAAATCTGTTTGACTCCTGAATTCCAAATAACAAGCAACAAGATTTCAGATAGCAAGGAATTGATTGAGCTCTAAACATATTCAAATTTACCTGATCCTGAATCAAGATAACAGTTTAGACAAGATTTGACAAAAATGACTTTCAGGGAAAACTACTGATCCTAAATAATAGTTAAATATAATTTTAGTAATTATTATATTGTTGTAAAATAGTAAGAAAACACCTCGGTTATTCAAAATTATAAGTTTTTTTTTTAAGATCTATTTTATTTATTTATGCTCGCAAGAACTGGAGGCCGAGAGGATTCAACAGAACTGAGTGGGGAGCAGAACAGGCAGATTTGAAATACACAGCTGAGGGGAGCAGTGGGCAGGATTTGTGACTTAGCTCCCCAGTAGGGGACTGAGTAGAGGCTGGAGATAGTTTGATAGTGCTGGGACTTAACCTCTGCACGCTACCAGAGAGGCCCGGCTTATGGGTTTTTATCCCAATTATTTCAGGGGTACCCGTTTCTGTTACCAAAAAAAAGTTACCCCAAAGTATAGTTGTTACATTTATTAAAGCTGTTACAAATTGGGATGAAGTTTAACGTACACCTGGGTAAGTATACTTAGTATACATACTCATAGAAGTAATTGTTTACTGAACACCTGTTATTGACAAAGATTCTTCTTAACCAAACTTTAGTCAAGCTCCTGAATCCTCGTTTTGGGGTAGTTTACAGAAAATACCCCATCTTTGATATCGAGTAAAATTCTACATCCCCAAACGTGTTATCTGACCATCCTGATATCCGATCAAATTACTTATCACCTGGCCTACCTTCCACAAAACTCCAATCATAACTCCCGTCAAATAGATTGCCATTAGCAATTTTCCATTCATAACCCCGCACCCCCCCTCCACTTAACACCCCCCCCTTTTTTTTTTTTGGCAACAGCTCTGCTTCTCCTAGTATTCAGAGCACAAACCAATCCCTCTCTGCTACTGCAAACTCCATACTAGACCCTCTGAATGAAGCCTGCCTTGCCATCTAAAGTATAGTAATTTTCTCTTTAACTCTATGTGGACCCTGTTCCTGTCATTTTTAATTCTTAAAATTACCGGGCAAAGTTTTGAAAGCCAGAACCTCTGACGATCAGGGTGGCAACCAAATTCAAACCCAGGAAGCTCTATAGCTGGTGCTTGGGGAAGACGGCCGTCAACGTAAGGATATTTAGGAGGCGAGTTTGGGAGCTGTCACTAACGGCTGGGGAGTAGCTACCGGCACTGAGCACCTGGCAGGCCGGCGCTTCTGAAACCCCACAAGGAATAAACAGTTCCTTCCGGGCGGTACTCCAACGATGCATTCTCTACCCCCCCCCCACCCCCCACCCATAGCCCCAACACCGACTGCACCC